TTATTCAAATCATGTCGAGCGAGCATAATTTTTATGGTAATCCACTAAGACTTTGATCTCTAGTACGTTAAAAGTCATCACTATCATTTGTTAATGCACCAGTAGAATGCCTAAAATGTTTTCCCCATTTTCTATAATAAAATCATTACTGCTAAAATTTGCTATTCAGAAATCTTCTTTATTTTCAGAAATGAAAAATTTTGCTGAAGATGACTATAATTCGAAAACCTTCGTGCAGAAGTTCCTTGATGTTCTTTTATGCAGGTAATTCAATAACATTCCTTTTTTTTCGCATTATTCACACGTTTTTCTAGGTATAGTATAGAAACTCTCTATTCCACTAAATCCTTAAATCATTCTACTGAAATTGTGTGCTCTCCTAAAATTCTCTGCGATCCGCAAAAAATCAGTTTGTTCAAGTTACAAAAATCCCGCAATAGGTTGATTTAAGCAGGGCTAATTTTACAATTTCGGATGTCCCAGAATCTCTTAGAGCTTACAGTCCTAACAGTATTACGAAGATAAGTAGCAACTAGACTCACTACCAGATAGAGCTTTAAAACTTAAGAGAATTTTCATTGAACGGCGTAATGGTACAAATGTCCATAAAATGATAAAACAATGTGCTCTTGTTAAAAGACAATTAACTACGGAATCAGAAAGACAAATGAGCCGTTGATAAGATACTTGCAGACACATCAGATAACGGCGGAGCAAAATTCTAAACTTTTTAGTTTGCAGAAAGAAATAAATTGATCACAACACGATCTACTCGATCTAGCAGCTACAATTGAGTCCCCTCTTTTAATGTCCGGGTTTGATCAGATCCTCTCATGTAGTCTGCAGAGAGCTGCTGACAGTAAGCCTAGCGATCCTGATTCAATCACTTTGCACATATGCAAAATGCTGAGATTGAGTATAAGATTAGACCGGAACAAAGTTTTATTGCAATAATTTTTTATTCACAGTATGGCCGAATATCAGGCTGCAGTAATTGGATTACACTGCTATAGCCTTGCTTGTATCTCCTTATTTTCTCAGAAAAATATGAAAATACGAAAAACATTCGCTTTGTTATGTTGACGGTATGATTCTCGCGCTTCGGGATTTAGGAAATAAAATATAAATCCATATACTTTTATTATAGTCAATCTTTAAATTTTGCAATTTCCAGCTGTCAACTCTGGTCATCAAAAAAAAAATAGAGAATGAAACTTTTTGATGAGAACCTTTGTAAGGGAAATCACCCAGCAGTTGAGTAAAAAAAGCATATGATGAGGCTTTAACGTAAATAATCCAGGCCGTGAGGCTTAAACAATTTCAAGAAAAATGTTTGAAGAAGCAAAATTTCAAATTGCAACAAACAAAATTATCCGGAAAGAAGAAATCAAAGCATAAAGTCTATGGTTTTTCAGTAAATTTGTGCTCTTTTGTTGAAAAATAATTGGTAATACGACTAAAGTGAGTTTCAGAGGTGATCTCGCAGAAGAATGTGCCAACAAAGAGCCAGTTTCTGTGACCGAGCTAGTAAGTTTATCACTTTTTTATGCTTTCTTAATATATTGCTTATTCCGTGTTTTTGGTTATTCCTCAATTCCTCAAAATTTACTCGAACGACTTGTTTCGTAGAACCCAAGAAAAACAGTTCCTCGTATTCTTCTTTGTCAATTTTAGAAAACTCATCAATTCTAAACAATAATGTCTTAAGAACAAAATTGCAACGAGCCCGTTGATCGACGTTCTATGCGTTTACAGAGTCTTCAAACTTAAATGTGGAAAAATGTCAATGAAATCTTGAATTTAAAAAAAAAAACATTAACCAGTGTGATGATTGGCCAAGGTAATCTCCGACTTTTTGGTTCTGACACTTCTTATCTGCGCTTTTTAAGGACTTCTTCAATTATTTAACTCAAAAAGATTTTAAGAAGGGTGATAATCAAATTGCATTGGCAAACAGTGAACTACACTGCACCTCCCTACTTTTTGTAGCGTTATCGTTGAGGCTTGGTAGTTTTATGTGCCATTCAAATTTTTAGAACTGATAACACCAGTGTTCAAGCGATCATAAGAGTTGGATCAAAAATTCAATTATTCGCGTCAAAGAACAATGTGCTTTCCCATCACCGCGCAATAACATATGTAGATTCATGCAAAAGATACAATGTGATTTGTTCCCAACTGAGTTTTCGTAATTTCTACATACAATCCGATCAATATATTGTACATACACACCATCAGTCATTTTACATGAACACATTTTTCAGAGTACGACATAATAAAAAAAAGTCGGATGTGCATGCTTTTCTTTTAGTTCAGATACGCTTCGAAAAAAGATCGCTATTATGTAGCAATTGGATTCATACTGGCCGTGCTTGTCGGAATTATTATGCCGTTGAATTGTCTTGCTGGAGGAATGTACACAAATATCTTCTTAAAAAATACTGATGTAAGTGTTTTCGAAAGCCTTTATTTTTACCCTACATTACCTTCACCACATTGTAGCCCGTTTTAGAAAAAACAAGTGAATGATTCCTTACGAGCTTTTCGACGAAGCTTTTAGCAACTGTTTTCAAAGAATAGTGCAAACTTGCTGGGTTAGGTTCAACATACACGATATTGACGTCATTCATAAGCAATCACCAAAAACTAAGCCGGGAAGTTTTACCAGTTTTTGGGATGAAAATAACTAGAAACTTACTTTTGTAATTTAAATAGTATCATCTTCTTCAGTATAGCTTTCATAAAGGAAATATACTTAGACCCAAAATGCAATGTGGTATAACTTCAGCACTTTCAAAATGATGAGTTATGGCGGCAAGCTATGTTTCTATGTCTAGGATATCTAATTGCCGGTTGCATACTTTTTATTCTGTGCTATATGCAAGTAAGTGAAATTACAAATTGTTGCTCACCTTGCTGAGTTGTGATTTTTCACTTTCAATTTCAGCACTATTTTCTATTTACTGCAAGTCGGGATATTGCAGAACGAATACGAAAAGAATTTGTCACTGCAGTGCTCAGGCAGAATGCCGTATGGTTAGACGAAAACAACAGCGGCACAATCACAACGCAGTTAAACGAGTAAGTACGCACTTATAGTTTGAAATCACAGTGTTTGACTATAAAAGACTTAAATAACGAATTTGAATTTCACTATTACAGAAATATCACACAAATTGAAGACGGTATTGGCGACAAAATTGGAATGCTTGCTAGGGGAGTGTCGATGTTCATAGCAAGCGCAGCATTAGCATTTGCATACAGCTGGAGGATAACTCTCATATGTATTGCAGTTGGTCCTATAAGTGCGATTACAATGGCCATTATGTCCAAGGTATGCATTTGACTTTGTTGGTGTACTGGAGGTTTGAGTTATTATATGCTTATCCGTCCCACTGGTGATAGCCATAACAAAGTCCAACATTCTACCTGCCAGAAAACTGATTTTAAAAGAAGAGAACCAACAGGAAAAGACAGACTACATCAGATAGGCATGTTGAGCTTTAGCTAAGAACTTTAAATTCGTAGAGCAGCATCTCCCATTCGTTTTAGCGCAAACTCCAAGGGCCTGAAAGCTTATTTTTTTCATTAAGCTATAAAAAACAGCGCAAAATATATTATCCATTATGAGCTATTGATAAATCTTTCGTCAAAATCAACTTCCTTTCCAAACATCATCCAGATCTGGTTTAATCCTTCATTGTGCGAAGTTTTTTATTCCGCTGTCGTACAATAAACTGTATCATCAGACAAATGATACTCTAATATAGCGATCCATTACCTGCGGCAATACAACGATTTTGCCACCTTTGTCATTTACTTTAAGGCAGAGAGCACAGATTAAAGTCAAATCACGCAGCTATCTGCTGAGGCCAAGTTACTGTTCCATACTTCGATTTTGGTTAGAACATTTGAAATGCTCCACCAGTATGCGAGACCTTCACCCGCCCTATGACAAATTTCAGGCTTTCCACATAGGGACAAAGAAGGAGTTTAAGAGAATGTTTAGCTACTAGTGAAGCAAGAGTTTTTTT